TTACAACCAGGTCTGCGGAGAATCGCGTCACATACAGCCACTTGTTTACACAGCCCTTCAGGGATGCCGCACGACACACGGATCTTTCCTCGTTCCTCTGTTTTCCTTCGCTTTGTCTACGCCGCCGCGATCAGCCGCATGTAATTCAAGAGAGACAGAGAGAGAGAGTCTTTGGAATAGACTTTGAGACACGGGACAACGCGCGAGGATATTGCGCTCAGCCTACGGGTTTCCGCGCCGTTAATCCGTCCTATTCTCGAGCACGCATTAAAGTGATTCCCGTGGAAAAGCGTGGAACCGATGAAGGGATACGCGCTAGGAGGATCAAACGGGGAAACGTTTCTGCCAATGGAGAGAGCTGACGATCGATCGTTCCCTCGTAAATGCCGTGTGGAAAGGGATCGTTGGTAAGGGTATTCCAGGGGAATAGAGAGCCGCCGTAAATTTGTGTTTCGCGCGATCCGATTGGACGCGTTTTAAACGATCTATAGGTTATGGAGGATGTTTTACGAGTCGAATATCTTGGAATACATCGTAGACGCGTGTTCAACCTCGATTTCGAGTTTGAATGTCTTCGATGAAGGCGGAAAATTCGTGCGATGGTATCGTTCTTCGACACTATCACTCGCGACACTATTCTCTATATAAAATGTGATCGCGAATTTCTGATGCTCTCGTGGCAAATTAACGACGCAATGGCGATTTTCTCACCTGTGATGTGTACAAAATTGTGATTTTGAAATCAGTTGAGAGAACGAGTCAAAAATTAGGAATGGAGAGAGAGCGAAAATGGAATCTCGGAAAAATTAAAAAAAGAAAGAGAAGGGTGGCGAAGTGTGAACCAAATGGGTGTAGTTCGTTCATAACGGCGGAATTTCGACCATGTGCCAGACTGATCTATCGCTACACCTACGCAACCATTATGAAATATATCACCGAAGTTAGAACAATTCATACGTACGGTGAGATGTTCACTGAAACTTACTTGAATTAGAAGTCCTTCCTAACGCAGAGAAACGAACTTCGTCCGCTTTATGCATAGTAATACCCACGATCTACGATCTTCGTACGAGCGATCGGTGTTTAATCATCGCGCGACCGCGTTTTCATCCGGCAAATACACACACCGTGGGCGTGCGCGCCTCGTAAATCGAACCTCGACGGCTTATGGGGGGTGATCGGCAAAAGCGTAATGGAGGATTCCGTGACTCGGCATCGTTCTCCATCCAACGATAGCGTGGAACCATTGTGATCGACTACAGAACCCGAGCCACGAAATTATTGCACGGTGTTTCGGATTTAATGGAGCCAATGGACGAAGGAACGTCGACGAGCGAAGCTTAATTTCTCCTTAGCTAGCGCTCGCTTTTCTTTTCCTCTCTTCTTTAATACCTTTTCACAGCGTTGTTTCTGGATGGAGAAAAAGAAGGAAACAAAATAAAGGAGTGAGAGAGAGAGAGGGAGAATACCGCGCGGTTATACCCGAGAGGAAACAAAGGAAATCGAAATGCCTTCCGTGAAGGTGAATCGCTGCGCGGAATAATCCGAGAAGCGGAGGAGGTCGAGAGAAACGCGGATTCTTTCGCAAATGAGCTCCGTCGTTCGCGGGTTCCATTGTCCGCGATGGAAGAAAGTGCGCGATCGTCGTTCTTCCGTCTTGGTGTTAATTGCAGAAACGCGGCGGTGTTCGAAGCGCGGTGGTAAGATTGGCAGAGCGTTGGAAAATTTCCTGTCCTCGAGTACTCTCTCATTGTCGATGCTGCTGCTTCTGACAGCGACTGTTGCGCGCATCGATGTCTTTCTCGTATTTCATAGTCACGTACTGGGCGACTGACGCTATTGTCTGACTGCAGACCTCAGCGACACGTGTGTGAGCCTCACGTGGAAGGATAAAGTCGGATCAGAGTGTTTTTTCTTTCTCCTTTTGTTTTCGAAAGAAGTGAATAGAATTTCTCGGAAGAATATACGGCTTCGCGTTTATTCCCCGTAGAGTTACGTTACGTTGGTGAACTTCGTTGGAGAAACTCGACAATTAAATCGTTCTTTATCTTCTTCGTCAAAGTGATCGATTAGCGTGAAATCACGAAGTTTCACGGGGAGGTTCGATGACGATTAGTATAAGCCAGGTAAACGAGAGGGAGTTGGCGATAAAATTCTTCTCCAAGTTATATTAACGCCCTTACTCGGTCCCGCGAGCTTCCCCCGGACGAACTTTAATCGTGAATAATGAAAGAGTCCGAGGACGATTATTTTTCAGGGAGAGAGAGAGAGAGAGATAACCGACACGATATTGGACGGAGCACCGTAACTTCGTCCGTCAGCCATTTTTCCTTCTTTCCGAAAAATCTCCGCGCGTCAACGTGACAAACTTCCTTCCGGTTTAATTCCAAAGCTTGAACGATTAACCTTCTACGGTGAACTAAGCGTTCGTTGCCCCTCTCGGCAGAATTTCGACGAAGAACGAACGTGTCAATTTTATCGTTCCACGGGTATAATCTCTATCAATTATCCAACGCACACAAACACACGCATATAGAGAAAGAGCTAGGTTTAATCAATCAAAAGCACGTTGCGTTTCTTGCAATTCGACCAGCATCGGTTCGACGCTAATTTCGTCGAACACCATCCGGCACGATAATTCCATCGGAACACATCGAGATCAAGCGTCGGCTGGCCGTCGATTGTTACGTGGACCACTATTTGTAATTCATCGGTTCCGCGTGTCAAATTTTACAATGCCTGCCCTCATTATATTTACAGCGATGCCTCGCATAGCCGTGAGCTTCTCCGCCTGTCAATGCACGCCGCGGAACAATTTATAGCTTCGGCCCTTTCTGTATAAACCTATATATATACTATATATACATGCAGATTGTTACTGTCGGCCATCAAAATGCAACGACGATGTCGCGAACCACGGCGACCTGCGTGCGCCGTGTCTCTCCGCTTTAATTAGCGTTACAATGATCGGGAAATCCCCGGTATCACAGTGTCACGCGGATAATTACCGCCCGGCGACCTTCCTGCGTCGTGACCGCAATTTCTGAATTTCCACCCCCCAACTTACAGGAAGCCTACTCTAATCAACCGTTAATCCAACTTTCCCAGGGATGAATTTAAAAAGACACGTCTTACTCGATGTATCGTAAAAAAGAAAACTGATTGTAGTATCGGGGCCTCCATACTCAAATAGGAAACCGAGAAGCGAGAATAGAGAGGGGGTAGTTGGCGTAGCGCGCAAAGCCTCGGCTTGCTAAGCCGAGGGTCCCGGGTTCGATTCCCGGTTGGGTCCCTGAAAATTTTCCATCGGTTTCACATGATTTTTATCCTGAAACATTTATTCAAAGGTGCGTAGAAGTTAAGAAATTAGCAGTAACAACTGTAGATATCGAGTTATCGAAAAGATATTCTCTCCTGAGGGTGTCGACGTGAAATTCGTAGAACGGGGCAAGGTCCGAGGAGGAATAAAACAGCCGTCTCACCCTTCTCTCCGCTTCTCGTTCGCGTCTTTGTTACCGCTATCGGTCCGAGCCTAAAGTGGCCTTATAGAAAAGAGAAATTATTGCACGGCGTTGGAGATAAGTGGTTTCATCGGTGAAACCAGCGGACAAAACCGTCTCTGGTAACCGTTAGCGGCCGGTAATAAATTGGCAGAGAATGTCCGAAGGAGGAAGACTACTCCGCTGCGGTCTGGTGTGTATACACACGGGGAAGTTAGCAGTTATCGCGGCGTGGTCCTGCGGCAAGTAAGTACGGAGAGGGTGAAACGTCTCGGGTTCGAGCTCGTACTACAATTCAGCCACCGTTTTTCGATGATTATCGTCGATAATTAATACCGCCGGATTGTCGGTGATAGAGCAAGGTGAACATTTCGCGACGGAGTGTAGAAGAGAGGAAGGGAGATTCGTTGCTATTTCTTCATCATAGTACTCGCGACATTCGCGGTGAATAATTCCGCTCGAGAGAATAACCACGCTCTGACAGCGGCGTAATGAGAGTTCGTCGCTCCGAGATCAACGAAACTTTTATTAAAACCTCCTCCGCGCTTTAATATACACAGAACATTCATCTTGAACTGCGAACCGACTAGTCCACCTACATTGCTCCCTTCCACCACCGTGTCTCGCCTAGATTCCTCTGGACGAAAGACACCGTTTCTATTTAAATTTCCCGCCATCAGGAGCTGTCTCGCGAATCGTCAACTATCGCGGTGAACGGAGGAACACGACGAATCCCGGGGAAATATTAAAACGGTAGGTTGGGATAGAGAGGGGAAAATGTCCGTTAAAGTAGCCGGACAAGGAGGATCTAAGAGGACAGAGGTAAGGAGAGAAGGAGCCAGCGGCGACGTAATCTCATTGCGGAGCATGGTTCGCGCACAATTCCTCGTGCACGCCGGAGTAGCATAACTTTGCACTTTGTCTCCAAGGAACTGCGGCAAACTGGCACGGCCTACGGGGCCGTGGAGCAAGGGAGAGGAAGAGGGCAGGAAGTTCGGTAACTCGCGCGAGTAGCTGTGTCGACGACGCTGCCGCCGTGTTTTCGCGTACACGCTCGCTTGGCTGCTGCTGATAATTTCGCCGCTGTCTCGAGAAGTTCTCGTCGCCGCAGGTGTCTGCCCCGCGACCGGATCGAAAGCTTTCCTACCAGACTTTCCGATACGCCGACGCGTTCGAAAGATAGTTCGCCTCGCGTCTTCCGCGATTTCGCCTTGCCGCTGCACTTCTGCCGTTGCGTGCCTCTTTGGGCTACGTTTTCGATGAACTCGTTGATGGCTGGTGGAGAAACTTTTTCAGACTGTGCGAGTTTGTAGGGGATGTTGGCAGAAGTTACAAATTTCGCAAGGTTTAAAAAGACAATGATAGAAGTATTTTAACTACCCTTGTTAGCGAGTAACACTTCTCCAATGATTTTTATGGAAACGTTTGGAGAAAAATTGCACCTCGGAATAATGTGGAACATTTCGAAGTGACCGACAATTCTGTTTTTTTCCATTTCAGACATGCTACGAGATGGAGAGGTACCTGAAGGACGAGCCGAAGCTGCAGTCGTACAAAAAGTTGCCCACAGAGTTAGACACAGCACCTTGGAACCTCTTCAGGGCGCCTCCTATCTCGTGGACAGCGTCCACTGGCACCGCCAACGCACAATTCGAATCGCCAATCAAAATGGAGGTGAGTAACCTTTGACCAATTCGCGAAAGATATACTCTGATCCATTGGGATCTCCCCGTATTCGTGACCCACCTACTCTGATCGAGTCTGAAGCAACGTGTCAACGTCGTTTGTTTCTCTTTTTTTTGTCCCTCGGTGATCGCGCTACGCAGGTGACGACGTCGTCGGAAGACAGGGAAACGCTCTGTCTGGACGATATTAAGTTCAGTCCCGGCGATCACAACCACAATGGCCGCGATAGGGATCTCCTGGACCGACACCTCGATTCCTTGTCGATGTCGTCGTCGAGTTCGGCGTGTTCGGCGTTGTCCTGGGACAGCTCGCCCTCCGTCTCGTGCACGGCGTTCATTCTCAAGAAAGAGCCAAGCGAGGACCTCGAAGAGGACGAGGAGCACGAGGTGCGTCCCACTCGTTATTTTGCATGAGACGCTTCTCCTCCGAATTTTCTGCCTGGGATATAATGCATATCTGTTTCTTCTCTTTCTATTGGTATAGTGGGTGGAAGGGATATACGAGACGGAGTCGTAAATTCGGTGGGATGTTGAACATGAGCAGGGTTCAAGTATCGGTATCTGGAAGAAGAGACTTAAAGAAAGAAAAAGGGGAAAGAAAGGAGAGAAAGAAAAATGGAGAGAAATAGTCAGAAAAATATATACGAGACGTGTAATACCTCAGAATTAGGATTTTTACGTAGATTTCGTCGAATCTGAGATACTCTCTATTCCTTGAACTTTGCTAGACGAGAGCGTACAAGCTCCTAGTACTCTAGATCTACATTCTACTTTCTAATTTTACACTCGACTCCCAGCTGAATTTACGGCTCGTCCCCGGTATCTCTTCCCAGGTGCTGCACCACCTCCTTATCCATCCCAGTTTCTCCTATCTCATCTCCTAACGAGTTTCGACTGACGAGAGCCGAGAGCTCGAGTCGGGCGATTAGTTCTGCGCGAAAGTAGCGATTAAACGAAATTAATTACCGCGACGGTGGAACGGGTGTCGCGACAAGAACACCTGCGTTTACGGTTCAATCGCGACACCCACTATTTCGACGTGTATCGCGCGTACAATGCCCGTCAAATTTCAATTACCGTCAAACGCCGCCTGTTATACAAATAACGATTCTTCCCATTTTCCATCGGTTACGCGTGCACTCTCTGCATTTCCATGTAACGGACACACACACGCACACACGAGTTTACGATACGCGTGGCTGTGTGTAATCCGTTTACAGGGTCATTTGGCATTGATCGATTCACGTGGGGCCGCGGTACCGGTATCGATGTTCGATACCGTTTTAACCAGTTGCTTGCACTTTAATCAGAGGCCCCGTTATCGTAATCCCGTTGCGTAATGAATTACGTTACCGGCACCAGGAAATCGAGGAGGAGGAGGACAGCGGCTGCGAAAGCGAAGGTCAAATCCTGACACCACCGTCGAGCCCAGGCTCGGGTCAAGGTCATTCCAACTCCAGTCACTCGTCGAGCGGGAGTACGATGCTCGACGTGCAGAACCTCAACCTTCATGGGACGGGCGGCAGGAGTGCCATCGTCAGGGTTACCACCAGCAACGCGCAGGGTGTCGCAAGGTGAGTCCCCTTTAACGCCTTTCGAAGAATTAGGCTGGCGTCAACGCTGACCGTGCCACGCCTGGTTTTTGAATTTCGCTGCTAAAGGCTGTCTTCTGCGTTGTTTTCTATATTGATCCTTTCGCTACTTAACGTGGGTGACTGGAGGGAAATTTTTAACCACGGCTGTGAAATTTGTTATTTTCACCGTGGCGTTTTGAAATTCGGTTTGTTAAATTAAGGTGTAGGCGCCAATAGTAGTGAAAGGGTTAAACGTTGAATGCCGGACCAATTCTGCGTAACTCGTCCACAGCGCCGAAATGAAATTTGAATTTTAACAAAACACATCGCAGTATGATATCTAATAGGCTGTGTGATGCATTAAATGAAAATTTGACAGATATTACCGTTTATTCGAATTAAATGCTTTTGCTAATCTTGACAATCTAAAATTGACAATCACCTCTGTATTGATCTCCAAAAAGATACGATCTTTATTTACATAAAATTCTGGCACGGTTAGTGTCAAGTAAATTAGGTTAAGCTAGTGAAAAGTTTCGTACTTTATCGACTTGGAGAAATTGTAAGGATTCCACCTGAAACAGGTCTGGAAGGTTGCAAATAGCTGTAATTTCATCAAGGTTAGGTTCTAGGCATTCTTTCCTCGAACGTTAGTTTCTCTAATTGCAAGCAGATCGTGGAGTTGCGTGACTCTGCCGGAGACAAATCAGTATCCTTCCCTTTTTCATGCCGTTCACAGTCCAGTCGTAAACACGCGAAAGCAACTGTCGTTCGATTAACCCTATACACGCTGCTCGATGTAAATCGGCGTGTAATCTAGTTTGGAAATAATTAAACGGATTTTACGCGACGAAATACGGAAAGGAATAGAGAACTCCTGTTCGGAAGATCGATAGCAGAGGAACGATTGGTCGAATGATTAACGAGCAGGAATTCAATTTCCACGTTGCTGCCGGTAGCTTCCTCTATTTTGTCCAAATTTATGCGTTCGTCTTGATGCATCGGGAGCGCATCGTAAAACTGCACGGAAAGAAAATGAAGAGGCGTGCCTTGGCGTACCCGGTATTTACTTTTCATAGACTTTGACGGCATGCAAATCGTATCTTCCACGGTTACTCACATTGTCAATATCAATCTTCTCCAAAGGAGAAGACGTTTAAATTGACTAAAAGGAATTTACGTTGTTATAAAAAAAATATCTCCCAAAGTCATCCACATTATTTTTCACTTCGTAAGGTCACCTGAAGATCGTAATTTCATTGCCAATATCGGCGAAAATGTGGCATTATAAAAGCATAACCTTAAACCGAGCCTTCTGACCTTCTTATCGCAAAGGTGTACACGCTTTCGAATATATTCTGCGAAGGATAACGATACGAATGCACGCGGCAATCACGAAGGAAGGATCGCGCGATTAATTAGGAATGGAGACACAAACGCATAAAATTCCTTCCTCCTTTCAGACTGATCTCCGTCACAAATGGCTACCCCGCGGTGGCGAGCACGCAACACGCACACGCAGGGACAACTGCAGCCGCGAGCACCGTGGCCAACAGGCACCACGCGAGGAGCCACGAGCACAGTCCGCCTGACACGAAGCGCAGGATACACAAATGCCAATTTCCGGGTTGCAAGAAAGTCTACACGAAGAGTTCGCATCTGAAGGCACATCAGAGGACGCATACGGGTGAGTGGCCTATCGTAACTGTTCCTCCATCGCGCCGTATACCGGTTGCGCTAGGCGCTCGATTAGCCAGCGATTAGAGAGTTCAAGGGAGAATTTAATGGGGCAAAAAGTTTCGGACGGGAACTGAGAGACGATCGATGGGGTCGAGAGCATAGCCGAGCGTTAGAAAACCAACTGTCTGACTCTACATACTTCGATTAACATTCCCCGGAGAGTTTCTTCAACGTTTACCTTCGTTCCCATTTTTTTCTTCTTCTATTCCTATCGTTGCTTGCCTATTAGCCATTGAGAAAAGTCACATTCCCATTGCGCGGAACTACGAAGACGATTTCTATGGATCTGACATGACTGGCGGCGGAACTGACGTCCACAGACGTACCGCGAACATTCATCACTCTTTTCCGCAATTAAGGTAACTCGTGTACGAATTATCGAACACGCCAACCTCCGGCCATTAATACACGTTACGGTTGGCGTCTGTCTCCTTCAACGGTATCGTTCCACGTTCAAGTCCGATAATTTCGCCGCGAGCTTCACGCGACACCGCTCCCGCGCCCCCTTTCTTCGCGATTCAGTTAATCGTTAGTCACGCGATTATCCAGGGCGAAACGGACGTATACCGCGTGCAACTACGGGGACAAATTCCGCCACGCGGTTCCCCCCCATTGCCACCGCGGCGAATAACAATGCATAATTAATTACGAGGCTGAATTAAGGGAGCCTGTTCGACTTGTACAGCGACCCCGCCGAGTGTACTCGAACGGTGGATGAATGCGAGGCCCACGTGCGCGAAACCGGATGATGCATGTTTAATGGCGTCGAACCACTCTCTCTCTCTCTGCTACGTGTGTTTTCTTCGATCGATAGAAGGGACAGTCGTTCTTTGCCCACCACCGCTCGACAACTTAAGTTTCGCTTATCTCCTGATGAGAATGTAATGGGATATTTAGCCGCGCGGCGAGCATGTTCGGTTAATCTCTTTTCGATCTAGTCTTCTCTATAATAGAGACCACCTAACCAGTTGAATCGTCGAGGATGGCTTTGTAAATAAATGGGCGAGGGAATAGTTGCGTTATGGTCGGCAATTCTCAGGGTATTTCTTTAAGAATTTGAGAAAAGTGATCTGGTTTGGGTTATTAATGTGTGTGTAGATTTTTTAGCTGATGTGTATTTAGTCTGACGTTGAGAAATAATGTTGTCTAGGCTTGAGCAATTTAACAATTTGTAGTGTGAAAGAGAGTCTTTCGTGTATGCTCACTTCAAACGTCAACGTTAATGACGATTGAATATTTGTTGAAATTGGATACTGGAAGGTGGTGAAAGAATGATGTCACGAGTATACATAACACTTAAACTTTAAATTTATTCTACAACTGTTGAATTAGAAAAAACGCGTTAGACTGGTGATAATAATTTCTGTGTTGAATAGCTGATAGTTTTTTAGAATCTGTCGTCCTTTGGAGGAATTCGTGCTTAAATAATAAATGCGGACATGTGAAAATGGGAATGACGATGTCTGATTGGTGGTTTTAATTTGGTAGGGGAAGCCGCCGTGACCCTCAGGTACTGCAAGTACCTTCGAGTGGCATGTGTCGGATTTTCCCCATGCCTTAACCGTAGCAGGTAATATTTTATTAGTTGCCCTGACTCGGCCAAGGTAAATGAAAATTAACACGGCCGAGGTAAAATTCTTAATCCTACTACAAAAGGGGCAATCGTCACTATACATTCAAAGAAGGTGAAATATGCACAATGGTTTTTACTTATAATTAGTTTTACGCCTTAACAAATGTTTCTGCTGGTTAAGTTGCTCTTCAAGCAACGGTTGTTCTAGAGAGTGAGAATGGTCATGGTTGGTGTAGGAGACGGGAGTAGATGAACAAATGCAGGCAATTTTTAATACGGGACTTTTGTACGTGAATTCTTGAAATGTCAGGAAGACATCATCACTACTAAGTGAGCTATTCAGCTTTTACAAAGATGGACCTGTGGATCTCAGCATGGTGATAAGAAAATAGAGAACGACAGCCTTTCTGATTTAATGTTTTAAGACTGGGAGACAATTCTCCCGAACACTGCTAATATATCGAAAATAGTTGATCGTTTATATCTGAAGCCAAAACTTCGCACATCGAACAAACTGAAACGAAATCTGAGAAATGGTTAACAAGTGGTACGACTGAAACCGTAGTTGTTCCAAAATTACAGGTATCCTTGGCTGATTTTCTTTCACACACCTCCGGCCTCTCCTTCACGATGAATATTCAAAGGGAAAAGAAAAGTTGCAAGTTAACGATCGTCGCGAGAAAACGATCCGAACAGTCAGACACGGGTAATCTCTCGAGCGTCCTCGTCACTTCCGTAAGCTGCGTCGCTTCGAGCGAGGAACTGGCCGAACACGTTATTACCATGCGGTCACCGTTCCTCTCCGCCTCGTCCCGCGGCTCTTCGCGGTTGGTTGCGGCAGCAGGTGACGGCGGAGGACTGTAATTAACGAGGACTCTCTTCCTCTTTCGCTTCGGCTCGCGCAACCCTCTTCTTCCCTTCTCTCCCTCTTTATCCACGGTTTTTGTCGCGTCACGCCTCGAACACCCCCTTCGCCGTGAGCCGGTGTGTGTTCGCGCGTACTCGCGCGTAATTACCCGCGCGCGACCAACGATCACCAAATTACGCCTGGTGTTCGTGACTCGTGTACAATCGCGCGAAACCATTTCGCCGCGTCTACGCGATAACGGAAGTGTACGGGTTGCAGGGAGGGTTCACGTCAATCCCCTCGTTAAGCACACTTTCGGTCGTCGATTCGGTCGTTGAACATTTGGAAATTGTGCAACGAGATTGTTTCTGATGTTCGTCCCTTTTTCGTCGATTTTGATAGAATTTTTCGGGGTCTGACCAGTTTTGTCTGCATTCTACTTGCATTATAATTCTTAACTCGTAGAGTGACATACAGGGTGTCTCATTCGTGAATTCATTTTTTATTTCAATTTGTTTGAACATTATCGATTTCACGAGCACTATTGGCTCAAAATGCGGCTAATGGATTTTCTAAAATGTGCAGAGTTGTCAAAAATGTCGAAAGTCTGTTGACACAATGTAACGTGCAGAGAGTTTCATTTAACAAATATACAGAGATCGATAAACATTGCCGGTGTAAAACGTGGATGACGGATTTGTCTAAAATTGTGCAGAGTTGTCAAAGAAGTCAAGAGACTGACAAAAGGTATTAGATATCATAAGAAGTCAGTTGATACTTCTGAATTTCAATAGAAAAAGAAGATTGAACGTCCGAAATCTATATAAAATTTGAATGCACACAAAATTCCCGCCACTTGGATTAAAAATAATTCCCCCGCTCGCAAGTGAAACTACCTCTCTAATGAATTTCTTATCATTACCATTCGATCGCAAAGTAATTGGAAATACAGCAGAATCGTTGTCCGAGCAACGTCCAATTTTCCACAAGCTTGAAAACAAAATGGAGGTCGCAGTTGGACGTGTTCGATTCGACGTGCATAAATCCATCGGCGGTGTGTGACGTGACCCGTCAAATATTTAACTACCCGACGTATTTCCGTGCATCGGCTCTTTCATAAATTTATCTGGAAATCCGTTCTATCATTACATCGGGCGCAGCGCTTCGTTTCACCTCGCGCGTATACACGTCCCCGTAATATCGTGCGTACAGGTGATTAAACGTGTATACGTGTCCACATATATTTGCTCACGTGAGTAGGTACACGTGCGCTCGCGTTCGCCTTCCTATGCGTTTATTTACCTATCCGCGCGTGTGCTCATCTGCATCCATACACGTTCCCCCCGTGACGGTGCCTACAGGAAAGCGCACAGATGTGTAATTTCAGTCTCTGTATTACGGCGGACGAGGCGGCGCGAGGGGAACCGGGACGCGAGTGGAGAATTACAGAGGAACAGGAAGAAAAGGAGGCGAGACGGGGGAGAGGCGTGTGTTTCATAGGTGTACAGGGTGGTCCGAAAATGGCATTCGAGAATTTCAAAATCTCTCTATCCTTCGCTAAACTTTCTAGATTCTGCAATTTTCTCTAAATCTAAATCGTCCACAGATCACATTAAAAATGAACATCAAAGCTCACACGATTATCCTCTCTCCGTCAAAATGAACACAGACACCTTCGCAAATTACAAGATTCCCTCGGTTCGAGCCACCCAGTACGCGAGAGCAAGAAAGCGGAAGAAAAATAGGAGGCAGAACGGCAAGGAGAGAAATGCAAAGGACTAACGAGTGAGGTGGCGAGAGAGAGAGGTGTGGATAGGTGAAAGAACGTGGAGCAGGGGGGAAAGAAAGGGTGGCAAAACTCGGAGAGAGGTGAGGTGGAGAAGGAAGGGTAGGCAATAAGAGAGAGGTTGGCCGGGACGCCTTCATCCTGCAGCGTGGCAGGTACGTCGGGATTGCTTCTCGCGGATCGTTAAGCAGAACTGCTAACTACGGGATTATGCATACTGCGGGCCCCGTCCCGCAATTATGACTCTGTTATGAATTCGTCCTGACGCAAGGATCCCCTCTGCGTCCCAGCCAGAACCAGCCACCGCACCAGACGACGACGACGACGGCGATGATGTCTCTGCGTCACGTATCGTGGCTCGGTCGAACGTTTATTTCGTTGAAAATGCTGGCGGTGGTTGGAAACGGGTGAAAAGGACACCGTTGCACGCGTGGCGCTGCCCACCCACCCCTTTTTCTGGTTAATCGTACGCCGGTTGGTACTCGTGTAACGGTTCGACGTTCGCAGAGTTTCGCTTAACCCAATCCCGATATTGTTTCCTTTCACGGTTAAACGAATTTTCGAACGCGTACACTCTCTCTCTCGTGTTTTAACCCTTCTCGTTCACATTTCCCGGGAAGTTCGTTGTAGACACTTTTTTCTCCTCCCCACTTTATCCGTCGATTTTTCTAATAAAATTCCGTCGTCAAGATTCACCGTGAGATTCCTTTTGAAGGAACGCGTACGCATACCAACCCTCCA